CTTTAAGTACTCTGTTTGACCTTGTCACAAAGATCCCTCGCAGCCGACAGGCTCTACACGCGTTAGAGCACGCATCATTGAGGACAACCGTCGCGGCCTCCACTCCAACATCCAGATGCCAATCTTGTTAAGCACAACACTTGAAGCACACAGCCAAAACTTCAAAAATCCGCAGACATGGAAACCATCATATCTAAACCGAACAAGAGCCGAAACCCTCAAAACCCCAAGCCCAAACCCCAAATATGAATAAGACAAAACCCTATAAAGGTTCAAATCTACGCCCAAAATCCCAAACCATAAGCCTTCCATCCGAAACACAAAAGCCCTAAACCCTAAGCCCTAAATCCTAAAGGCCCTGAAGAACATCCTTTATAATTAGAATAGGGTTGGGGGTATATTCTACTACAATTAGAATAAGGAGCCCCCAAAACCCTCTGCTAATTATTAAGGCCCCTACATGAAGCCCAAAGACCCTAGGCCCTTAGGCCCTAAACCGCAAAACTCCAAATCCGCACCTCTGTCGCCCCCTCGGACTTCAGACCCTTGATCTTTGCCACCAGCTCCTCTGAGTCAGTTTAGGGTTTAGGGGTTTAAGGTTTAGGGTTTAGGGTTTAGGGTGTAGGGTACCCTTAAGGACGAGATATAATATATATATATATAATATTATATATATATATAGTTATAATTATAATATATATATATATATATATATAATAATAATAATAATAATAATCATAATCATAATAATAATAATAATAATAATATATTTATATTTATTTATTTATTTATTTATTTATTTATTTATATTATTATTATTAGTATTATATATATATATATATATAATACATATAAGGATTCATAGCATAAGGGTATGGGGCCCCTACTTTTAAGGGTCATTTCGTCTTTAAGGATTTAAGGACCTGGAACCTGAATATAACGTACCGTTTTCAGTTTTCAGGCGTTATATGCAACGAAATCATCATACGGATCCCTGAAAGGTAATTCGGGGTCTCAGTGTTCAGTGATTCAGGGATTCGGGGATTCGGGTGTGGGTTTAAGGTTTGTGTATCGGCGGATTTCCAGATCGGCTGTTGAGCCGCTGGGAGTCTACATTAGGGGCCTTAATGTTCATCCTCGGGTTAGGGCTAGGGCTCACTGTACTGCTTCGCAAGATTTTGGGGCCCTGAATAATTTTGCAATGAGAGTACGCTCCGGAAATTAACCTGGCATCGTGAGAGATGGCATGACCCTGTAAGGACAGGCTGTACCGGGAAAGGTTGCGTGTGGGCAGGCCATACACACATCACCTCCGCATGGATTACTTGGAGGTTCATGGGACTTACTAAGTACAGTTGTAAGTACCCTAATTTGGTTTATAAGTATAGTTACCTTATTTATAACCCTAATTACTAAGTCCCATGAACCTTTAAGAACCGCCGCACTCAAATCGGACAGTTTAGCCCGCTTTGCCTTTGGAAGAAGAGACCCAGGAAGCGACTTATTGTTGTTGATGACACTCCTTCACCTCCACGGCGTCCGCGAGTGGGCCGCAATGACCGTGTCGTTCTACTCCTTCAAGAGCTTTTACCTCCGGCCAGACGCACTGCCAACCATTTCGTGCCTCGCCGTTTTTGCGCATATCTCTCTACGCTCGAATACCCCACCCAAAAACCCTAAACATCCCTAAACCCCCAAAACCAGTTCTAAGTGCAAGGCTCAAGCCATTGATTGAGGGCCTACTACTTAGAGTTCGCGGTTTAAGGCTGCTGAAGGTCAGGTTGCCGACCTTCAAGCCTAAACGAGTCAGGCCCCAGCCCTAACCCATAAACCTTTAAAACTTTGGTGCTGAAAAGCCCTGTGCCCGAAGCTCTCAAACCCTTGAAGAAAACCATACTCTTATCCAACACGGCAATACCCTAAACAACATTATGAAACCGGCCGAATCCCCTATAAAGGCTAAAACCCTAAACCCCCAAACCCCCAAACCCCAAACCCTAAACCCCTAAACCACTATAAACCCCATAAGCCCTGAACCTCTCAAACCCCTACGCGCCAAACCCCTGCAGCTCCAGTGCCCCAAACCCTAAACTCCTTAACCTCTCAATCTTAAGCCCAACCTTAACCCATCAGAACCTACTGTTGTAGTAGGGTCCCTATAAATCCCATATCAGGGTCAATACTAAGAACCTACCCAAAAGTGGTTATAGTCTAGGTCATAGCCCCGTACATGCTAAAACCCTCAAGCCCTACTTAGAGGTTCATGGGACTTAGTAATTAGGGTCATAAATAAGGTAACTATACTTATAATTACTTATAACCCTAATTAGGGTACGTATAACTGTACTTATTAAGTCCCATGAACCTCCAAGTAATACCCCAAACCGTTCTTGAGTACCGCGAGCCATCAGTCCTTCGCTGTTGCCACTGGGGTACCCGCAGCCGTCGTGAGCTTCCAGAGGCGCCCTCTTCGCGGCGTCTTTAGGGGCTTTCTGGGCTAGGGGCTTACGGTTTAGGGTCTTGGGGTGTTGGGTTTAGGGTTGGGGGTTGGGTCTTTAGGGATTTAGGGCTTTCGGGTTTAGGGTTTGGGGTTGGGTCTTTAGGGTTTTAGGGTTTTGGGGTTTAGGGTTTTATGCTTTTGGGGCTTGCGGCTTGCTGCAAAGGGTTTTAGGGTTTAGCTTAGAGTTTTGGAGTCTGCGGCTAGCGGCGCATTTTAAAGGTTTTGGGGCTTTACGAATTCCTCATGGCCCAGACATCAATTGCCAATCATCCTCTTGAGAAAGCACCTTACCTGGACCCGCCAACTACCCTCTATTATACCCTAAACACCCACTATTCATAAAGGGGCCATATAAGGGCTCTATTACAGCGTACCTGGCGGCAGGGGGGGGGGGGTCCTGGTATGGATCCGATCAGGGAATGTCAAAACTAAAAAGCCTAAACCTTAAACCCTAAACCCTAAACCCTAAACCCTAAACCCTAAACCCTAAACCTTAAACCCCAAACCGATGGATTCCAGCATCGGGCAACTTTGGCTTTCGGGATCCTCATCGCTTGGGGCCTTGCCCCAAGGTGTCCTAGGTACTGTTTAGGGTTTAGGGTTTAGGGCTTAGGGTTTAGGGTTTAGGGTTTAGGGTCATGGGGAATACGTCCCCAAAGCATGAGCAGTAACTCCTAATGTTACGTAAAATTAATATAGAACCCCTACAGTCTATACTATATATAAGCATTTTGGAGCCTTGGGGTGTACATATACTGTAGAAGACGTACACGCGAAACCCTAATTACCTAAGCTAGGTAGCCCAGTAGCACGCATGTCCACTGCTACTCTCTTCCTTTGCGCTCAAGGACAGCAGAGAGCACGGGCTTTCCTTGGCATCCTCCCACTCTTCTTGTCCCCGAACCCTAAATCCTAAACCCTAAACCCTAAATCCTAAACCCTGCTCCATTTCTTAGGCCCCACTACTACGCAAAAGTCCTTGGTGGTGGCAGGAGCAGCATGATGGTCTTACGCCACCACGTCGCCATGCACAATTAAAACGATTTTGAAAAACCCGCCACCCCCAAGGTTCAATTAATGCCACACCAGTCACAGCATCACCATGCGTCGCCGCAAGGGCGAGCGTTGCTCCATGACGCAGACACAGCGTAGGCGATCAAGGACAGCACAAAAGTTGTCGTGAGACGGAAGGCGAGGCTGAGCCTTGCGGTAGCCCATGACCGAGTCGATTTGGAGGCTGGCTGATTCAATGGGGTTGGAGCACCAGTAGATGCCCAGGTACCCCGCTGCCAGCAGCAAGATGGCAAGTGAGACTGCTGCGAAAATCGGCGTGACGACCGACATGATCTCACGGGAAGCTGGGCAGTCGAACTTCAGCGCCGGATAGCATTCAATCAAGCCCTGAAGTGTCCCGTAGTGGTGTCTTCCTGCTGGGCCGCTCTTCGGCTCTTCACACTTCCTTCGCTGTCTGTTGCTCGCCCCAGTTCCTACTCGAGGTGGAGATTCATGGGGCTTAATAACTTGGAGGTTCATGGGACTTAGTAAGTACAGTTATAAGTGCCATAATCGGGGTAATAAGTATAGTTACCTTATTTATAACCCTAATTACCAAGCCCCATGAGCCTTTAAGTAGGGTTGAAGGTTTAGGACTGCATCGTCTGCTTGTCATTCTTTCCTTGCTCCACCAGTCCGTTGACCTCTGCCTTCAGCTGCTTCTGAAAACTTTGCCCTAAAACTTAAACCCTAAACCCTAAACCCCTAAACCCTAAACCCTAAACCCTAAACCCTAAACCCTAAACCCTAAACCCTAAACCTGCATGGGCCCTCCGGTGCTTGAGCCGCCGTGAACGCGAGAGCCCTGCAGCCCGCTTGAGGCCAGCAGAAAACTGCATGTCGGGTTTGGGGTTTAATGTAGGGGCCTTAATAGTTAGACTAGGGTTTTGGGGTATATTATACTATAACTATAATAAGGACCCCCCAAAAAAAAAACAAAATAGTATGGGTAACTACAAAGGCCCATACATTAGGGGTTTAGGGTTTAAGGTCGAAGCTCTGAAAGCTTTCTTGGCATCGAGGGTACCTTGCTCAGGGAACATTTTTCATGAGGATTCTCCTATTTTTGTCTGTTACCCTAAAGCCCTAAACCCGAAAAACTTCCAGGTAGCTCAGCGTTCAACGGCCCACGTTAGCTCCAGGGAAGGGTCTGCAGGGAGTTCAATTGACAGAAACCCTAAACCCCTAAACCCCTGAAACCCAAACCATAAAACCTTATAAACCCGAAACACCAAACCCTAAACCCCTAAACCCTATAAACTCTAAACCCTAAACCCTATAAACCTTAAACACTAAACCCCTATAAACCCTAAACCCTATAAACCCTAAACCCTATCAGCCCTAAACACTAAACCCCTAAACCTTATAAACCCTACAAGCCCTAAACCCTATAAACCCTATAAGCCCTAAACCCTAGGTCTACCCCCCAGGTATCCAAAAGCCCAGCCTACTCCCAGCTTCTCGGCTTGGGAGCCCTCCTTCACTTCCTTTTCAAAGGGCTTTTAGGGATTAGGGTTTAGGGTTTAGTAGGGTTTAGTAGGGTTTGGGGGTTAGGGTTTAGGATTTGAGGGTTTGGAGCTTGGGTGTTTGGTTTGGGTTTTGGGTTTCTGGGATAAGATATTGCTGGTCTTCCGGGTTTGGCGTATTCATTCAGCGCTTTCAAGGTCTGCAGCATTGGTTTCAGAGTTTTAGGGTTGTCGGAGCTGTATGGAGTTCGGGATGTTTGCAGGTTTCGGTGTAGTTGAAGGGTTTAATTAGAACTCAGGGGTTTGGGATCGACGGTATACATGCAACAGAAACCCTAAACTGTTTACCCTAAACCCCACACAAACTCTAAACCCTAAATCCTATTTATGTGCCCTTGTCGTACCCTGGACCCATCATCCTTACACTCCACAGACCCGAAAACCACACTTGTTGAAGGTGTATGCATATGTACATCTATATATATATATATACTTTATACACACATGTAAGTAAACATTGATTTGTTTAAGTTTGTCTGTATTCTGTGTCTTACAGGCCCCATTGTGCTTGTACTTGACACTGGATTATTTGTCGACGTTGTGTAGCTTGTTTCTAGATTCGTACAGTATGCTTAAGCTAGTTATACGACACTTGTTGGGTGTTCGCACGATTGGAAGCACCTGCTGAAAGTCCTTTGCTAAGAGAAAATGCTTGGGTTTTCTCACCGTGATACTCTATGTAAACCCTCAGTACAGAAGCAACTACCACAGAAACAAACAGGCTGGGGCGGATATTTTCGGAGGGTACTATTCGATGATCAAGTGGCTATTGTTGTAAGGGGCATATACTCTTGACATTCTGTTGGCTGAGAGACAACTTTGTCAACTGGTGTGGGCCGTGGGCTGGTGACGGTTGCGTTGAAGGACGGCAGCTTGTGTCTTGGCGCCGTATAAGCCACACTACTACACCATACCCTAAACGCTACGGCCCAATATCTCATCCGCGTTCTAAAGCCAATATACACTCCACATAAAAACCTTAAATCCTTCGCTCTGCCTGTAAACCTACACACAAAACGTACTCTCTAAACTGGAGCAAAACCCTAAACCCTACAACCCTAACCCACAGCTGCCAACTCCGCACAGGAACCCTCCTGAAACTACACTATATTAGGATAGGGTGTTGGGGAATATTCTACTATATAAAAATAATGAGGAAACCCCAAAGTAGTACGGGTAAATATTTAGGCCCCTATATTCTCTAAATCCTGCACCCTTCCGGTGCACAGTGGACTGCATGGGCGGACAACGACAAAATGCCTAATGTGCAGGATGCCTTAGGAGCCTTGCTACCTAAGGGTTTAGGGTTTAGGGTTTAGGGTTTGGGACTACCTATGTACTGTGTTACTGTCCCTTAAACCCTATAAAAGCCTTGTAGCTCTCATAACCCAGTAGCCCACCCCCCCAATCTAAAAGCCCTAAACCCTAAAGGTACCTCAAAGGGCTTTGGGTTAAGGGTTTAACCCTAAACCCCGAACTGCAGATAAACAAAAAGCACTCCTTCGCCACGACGTCGTCAGTGAAGCTAATGCCCAAAGGCTGTGACAGGTCCATGGTGATCTCGCGAAACTCCTGACATAGCTGATGTTCTCGTAGTCGTAGTTGTTGGTATTATTGAAGTTAGACTTACGCTGCCACGGGTACGTGTCTAAACACCAGTTACTTCGCATCGATCTTGCAGCTGGGTTGCAAGTAGTGGTCGAGAACATGTTGCATTATGCTGTGCTCGCTTGTCGAAAGCCTTCGCAAACCCAAAAAACACTATAGCAGACTTTCTTTGGGCTTTGTGGCTATTTCGCAGAAAAAACGCAACAGTGCGGATGCGGACTCGAAGAACTCACAGACACAATACAACCACAAACAAAGCAAAACTACGCAACAACTTGGTTGCAACACACAAGTACAAACTAGTTCATGTGACAACAGCATCCAGTGATCCAAAGTTTCGCCTAAAGCTGGATTTGTTTTTCTATGGTCTGTTCGTCGGTGTGGTGATTCAGCTTTGCACTTGAGGTTCAGGGGTCGAGGTGTGGGATAACTGCAGGGTTTAGAGTTTAGGGGCTAAGGGTTGAATATGTAGACACTGCCGAGAAACAGAGCTGCAAAGAGCTGTGGTCGGGACTCAGTGCAGACTTCGGGCGCGTGCTCAAGATTTCGCTGCCGGGGCAGTTTGAGAGGCAGGCCTTTTGATACCCTCCAGGGATCGAGCGCATGCCTCGTGTAAACCGGGTAGAACTGCCAACCGAGCTTTGAACAGAAGTACCCTGAACCCCAAACCCTTGAAGCCTTTTTCCTAAATCCTAAACACCTTACACCCTAAAGCTGAAACAACTAGGTTGGACCTGGACCCACCGCTGCGAAACACAAACTCCAAGCGTGGAAGCGTGTTAAGCATTAAATCGCTATGACCCTACATCCTAAAGTCTATAAATCCTACACCCCCTAAAATCCTAAACCCTAGATCCTAAGCACCCCTAAATAAACCCTAAATCCCTAGAACATTAAACACTAATGTAGGAACCTGATTAAGAAACCCTGGCCCTGTAACCCCCAATATAAAAAAGGATCCATATAAGGAACCCTAATCAAGACCCTAAACCCTAAACCCCTAAACCCTAAACCCAGGCTTTCTTCATCAGGTTCCTATATTAAGAAGCCAGCTCTTCCTCGGCTGGTGCCGGCCGCTTCTCACCGTCTCCCTGGCCGTCGCACTACAACTCTTTTAAGGGCTTAGGGCTTAGGGTTTAGGGTTTAGGGTTTAAGGATTTGGGGGTTTGGGGCTTTTAGGGTTTAGGGGTTTAGGACTTAAGGCGTTTAAGGGCTTTGGGTTTAGGGTTTAAGGATTTGGGGGTTTGGGGCTTTTAGGGTTTAGGGTTTAGGCTTTTAGGGGTTTAGGGCTCGCAGTCGAATCTTTGGGGGTTTGGGGCTTTTGGGGTTTAGGGTTTAGGGGTTCTAGGGGTTTACAGTAAACCAGG